TTACTAAAAAATATATATTTTTATTTCTCAACACATAATTTAAATATATTATTACAAGTTTATTAATTTATAAAAGTCCTCAAAAACATATAATAAATAGCCATTTATTCAAATTACGATAAAAAAATAAACTAGAGAAAACTTGCTAAAACGTATCTAGGGAGCCGACTATACTATTCTATAAGTAAATAAATACCAGCAAACACTGCCATAAATAAAAACTATTAAAAAAATCATTTAAAAAATAATAATAAAAAATCTTGCAACATATTACACAACACCTAGTGTTGACCCTGCATGCAAGTTACAGCGCTTGCGCTTAACGATTTGTTGTAAATCTCAGTCCAGATGTTCCTAAGCAATTACATACGTGCTGTAATCTATTTCTCACGTTTCTGTTTTTATTATTTTTATTTTCCGCATTTAACTACTAGTTTCAATGATATTTGGAACTCGTGCGCATGGCTTAGTTTTATTGTGAGTTGCATTCGTTCATTATAAATTCAAATTTGGCGCTCATTCGTATGAAACAATGAATTGCCACATTTGAGGTTGTCGCGTCTCGTCTGCGCTAATGAACTGTTCGTGAGTTACAATTTTATAGAAGTGCTGTTTTTGTTTAATTTTATTTTCTAAAAGTACAGTTTAAATGATTTGTTTTTTTTCTTTCATTTTTTGTGGATTAAATTTTTGTTTTTATTTATCGCTATTTTCCTTTTTGTTATTCTTTGTACTTAGATTTTTTTTATTATTTTTATTTTTAGTCTTCTTTTAATTGTGTTTTTTTTTTTCATTTAAATTTTCCTTTTTTGTTAACTTACCGTGCCCAGGGGTAGGTCGGGGCCGCCGTGTGTTTGCTTGTTGGCTTTAAAGCTCCAAAACAATTAACGCCAATAAAATAAGTAGATCAATGAAAATAACGGTGAAAAGTAATGCATGTAGAATCCAAATAGATAAATGAAAATAAAGTAGCATCAACAAACAGAGCACAAATAAAACCACAGTAATAAATAGTACAAATTTATCGAGGTAACAGAATCACAGTTCAATGGAGCAGTCAGAATTACTCAAAACTGATACACATTTACATTGGAAAACTAAATAAAAAACATGTTCAAAAGCAAAAGAATGGAAAAAAGGCTGATCGGTGGCGGTTTTTTTGTGACATTACTAGCCACTTCGTCGCACAGACTTATAGGGTAATCCATTTCGACGTCCCTTACTTTTTTAAAGAAAAATAAGGTCACTTGAAATAAAGACACTTGAAGATTAATAGGATTTATTATCATTCGAAAGAATATCCTTTGGCATTTATTTTTTAAAGATTATCTCTTTCAATATTTGCCGCGGCTATCTCTTAGGTGGTCCATCCGTTGAGTCCAATTTTCGTTGACTCTTTCGAGCATTTCGACTGGTAACTGGCGAATGACACGTGTGATTTTTCGCTCCAAGACCTGAATCATAGACTTTAGACTTTACATATCTGTACAGAAAAAGTCTAACGGTGTGATATCACACTATCTTCATGGCCAATCGTCCGAGCCAAAATGTGAAACTATCAGCTCAACGAAGTGTTCTCTCAATAAATTCCCGCCTTGTTGAAACCAATTATCGCCCAGATCACGAGCTTCAATTTCATGCATTAAATAGTCGGTTATCGTTGCACTCAGCATTTTCGGTTACGTTCACATCGACATAATTTTTAAAGAAATATGGACCGATGATTCAACCGGCCCACAAACCACGCCAAACCGTTGTTTTCTCTGTATAAAATGGCAGCTCTGGGATTTCTTTATGTTGCTCTTCTCCGGAAATGCTTCAGTATTTCTTGTTTATATACTCATTGAGCCTGAAATGTGTCTCATAGCTGAACAAAAACTGGCTCGAAAATATCGCATCTTCTTGGAACTTTTCAGGAGTTCATAAAGCGAAGCGATGTCGCTTGGGAAGATCGAGCGGCTTCAGTTCTTGCACATGCTGAATTTTATACGCTGTCAATTTAAGACCTGGATGTAAAATGCGATCGATACGTCAGTTTGAGTTGCTGCGAATGGCACCGATTCGAATCTCCACGGTCTTCGTGTATATTCTCAGCTACAGCTGCACTTCGTGCTGAACGTGCTCTATTCGCGTGATTTGTCAAAAAAGGTTATAGAAAAAATTACCTCAACTTGGATCACCCGTTATATCCCATGTAAGTTTTAGGGCCATCTCGAAAACGGGTAGAACGGGTAACGGGTAGGAAAGTATTTCAGATAAAATGTAGTATATTTCACTATAAATATGTTCAGTTTTGATTTAAACTTTTCGAAGCAACAGTGTGAGAGTAATCAGGGATTACATGTGGATTAGGCAATATATATTTTTGGATTTGATTTCTAATAAAATTTTATCATTCAGAAATCTCATTTATCGTCGATTAAAATGTAAAAATGCTCTTTGGTCCAGCAAGTACCTCTCTATATTTATCTACTCTTAACTTGGCGCCGAAATGTAGGCAACAATTTTGATTTCAGCAAGAAAAATGTGTTCTTATTCTAATAACTAATAAAAAATTGTTGTTTTTCATCATTTTAAGCCCAGTGCTTCACATTAAAACCTGAAATTCATTTGAAGAATGTATTATGCTTTGAAAACAGTTAAATGTTAGGTTAAAATAATACCTACTTAATAAAAATGAAATGCGCGCACGTCTAGCTGGCTGATTCGGGTAAAATTCGCTTAACCAAAAAGTGACTTTCCTCCAACAAACCCAGTTTTATTTTCACTTGTTTTTTTTTTTTTTATCATTTGAGCTGTGTTTACAAAACCATTCGCTGGCTTTCAGCAACGCCAATGAAGCGTGTGAACTGGGTGTGTGCTAAGGGTGCACAAAAAAGAGGATAGCCCGTTATAAGCTAAGCAAATGCACCCAAATATATAAATTTTCCAATAAAGAGAGTATATAGCTATGAATAACAAATATATGCGTATGTATGTATAAGTGCATTTATTTGGCCAAATTAGTCGCTCATTTAAGCACACTTCAATTCGTAAACTACTTCATTAGACGCTTTGTTTTGCATTGTAAATATTCATTAACAGACACACACATACACATATATATGCCTATTATGTTCGTATCATACTGTTGCTCGAAATATTTTTGGCATTTTCGCTCGTCATTGATGGCACTCACTTTCATTCGAGACGTCAAGCTAATCACATGTTTTCTGTTTTTTTCTTCCACTCAACTCACGCAGCTCCACGAAGTGCACGACAGTTCAGAATTAAACCACGAAAGATGTCGCTGTTGCGTACTGTATTGTTGCTGGCTTTCGGTGCCACCGTCGCCTTGGCTCAACGTCGTCTAGCGTTGCCGGATCCACGGAGTTGCGCTAATCGTAAGTACATGAGAGATATTTTTTGTTTGAATTTTGTTGGTGGGCTATGCTGCTGAAATTGATTGGGTTTCTGAAGATGCTTTGAGAAGGGAGGAGAGAGAACTGCTCATCAAGTAATGGTTAGCTAATTTTCAAAACAGCTCCCTAAAGGCTACTGGAAACTTGTCTAGAAAAGGCAGCCTTAAAAGGTATAATTATGGACTTTGCCGGAAGAATAGCGCCAGTTTTCCATAGATGAGTTACTTATCCCTAGATAAAACTTCAAGAAATATCGTTATCGAAAGTTGAGTCTTATCTGAGAATAAGACTCACACCCGCAGTAGAGCGGGTCGATTTTTTTCGGGAAACGTTCTACGGATCATTCTGAACAACTTTGCCTAAAAGACCATGGGTCTAAATCCAGGTTTCGAGCAATTGATATTTAAGGCGAAGAGAGAGATCTTTTGAGGGTTTTCTTACCAATTCAGGTCAAGCATCACTCTATGCTAACAACAAATAGCCATTTTTGTGCTCTTACCAGCCTTAGTCTAACCTTAATGTTTTCACATTTCTCACCCACTTTACACAGGTGTTCGCCATGCCACGTACCGTGATGCGCGCGGTGTTGCCCACTCATATTTCTTCAGCTGGGAGCATGCGCCGACGCGCAGTCTCGAAGTCGACTGGTTGGATGCGCGTAATATTTGCCGTCGCCACTGCATGGATGCCGTTTCACTGGAGACACCACAAGAGAATGAATTCATCAAGCAGCGCATAGCGCGTGGCAATGTGCGTTACATTTGGACTTCGGGTCGTAAGTGCAATTTTGCTGGCTGTGATCGTCCCGACTTGCAGCCACCAAATGAGAATGGCTGGTTCTGGTCGGGTTCGGGCGCCAAAATCGGACCCACCTCGCAGCGCAACACCGGCGATTGGTCACATACCGGCGGCTACAATCAACCACAACCGGACAATCGTGAGGCTGCACAGGGCAACGATGAGTCGTGCTTGTCGATTTTGAATAATTTCTACAACGATGGACTCAAATGGCACGATGTGGCCTGCCATCATTTGAAGCCGTTCGTGTGCGAGGACTCCGATGAGCTCTTGAACTTTGTGCGTTCACGCAATGCCGGTATTCGTCTGTAAGTTCGCGCGCACTGTATGCTAATGGAAAGGGTGTGCTGGTTGTACTGTTAGTTTTGTCATAGCATGATGGAATGTGACGATTGTGGATGCATGGAACGTGACCTTTGTTGCTGTTTTTGTTTATGTTTATGGTTTATTTGTATTATTATTTGTAATGTTTTTGTTTAAGGCTTACCGATTTGTTTCGCAATTGGCAAGAAATTTTCGAAGGTTTGAACAAAAAACGCTGTTTTAGTTTTTAAGTGGAATTTGAAATTAATTTATGTTAAAATTACAAATAAAATCGAAAAACTTTGTTGAAAATATTTGTATTATTATTCTCGATTTGTTGAGATAAAAATTTAGTCGCATCTTTTTCGTTGTAATGTCTGCTCTACACTGTTAAATTGGTTGGTTAGTAACACGCACAAATGCATGTAGGAACGGCCTCAATATAAAATATAAAGTATGTATACGCGTAAATAACTTCTTTTATACTATATATAAAATATACTGGTTTATTGTTTTTGTACATTTCGGCCATTTGTTTCATTTAGCGTGGCTAATGCATTTAACTAACTAAACAATAACAAAAAAAATTAACAAAATTAAAAATAAAATACAAAAGTTGTAATAAAAAATTTAAAGAAAAATTATAAAAAAACATAAAATAATATTTTTAAGCCTTTAAAATAATTAAAATGTGTACATGTGTATTTAAATATGTGTAGAAAATTGAAAATAAATCATTGCATTAGTATAAAACGTGTTTCTATGGCTGTTTTAGCGGGTTTTAAAAAGAAATGTTGCATATGCGCAGGCGTACTTCCGTTGCTGCACACTTTTTCCGCCAGGTGGGCAAAATGCAGCATGCCGCTGAAACGCTGCATATGCAAAGGCGCATCGCATACCGCTGGTACTTGCTGCTGCGTTATGGGTGCCTGGTGGAAATGCTGGTTGTTGAGAGCGCACAAATTTGTGTGGCGCTGCTGTGCTGCCGCAGCGCTGCCAGCAGAGTGACATATAAGCGCATATACGTGTAGATTGACGTAGAAAAGCAATTTAAACGCAGTTTTTTCGGTTTTTAAACATTTATTTTTTATTATTAATAATTTTTAATTTTTTTTAATATTTTTTTTATATATATTATTTTTTATAATTATTTTTATTACTCTTTTTGCATACAGTAGCATTGTCGTAATGTTTAAACTACAATTATCAAAAGAAAAATGTACATCTATTTGCTATTTATTTTTTATTTTTTTTGTTGTAAATATAGAGTTTAGTTACACATTTACTATATATCTATGGAGTATTAAGTAGTATGCAGGTATATCTGTCTCTTATACACATCTAGATGTGTATAAGAGACAGATATATAAATACATATATATACACATACATACATATATAATTTAAAAGTCAGTTGTGAAATTAATTTTTTGGCTTGAAATAATTTTTGTGCGGAAGTTATTTTTCAAGTCGATACAAAGTATTTCTAATTTTAATTTTTTGGTGTAACATATTCAAATTGTTTTAAGTTTTTCTTTTTTCGGCAGATTTTAATATTTTTTTCTTTTTTGTATAACGTAACCTCAATCTGCATTCATAGCGTTTTTAACAATACTTTAGTAATTCCATAAAATTTTGAATGCTTTTTAACAATGAAAAAATAAATATTATTTAATTATTCTTCCAAACACACTTTTTTAATAATTTCATAATAATTATTTTATATATATATATATATATGTATATATATATATATATTTCTTTAAATAAATAATATTTATGTTTTTTTCAACAACCGCACTGTTTTGCTTGGGTTTGTCTAATTTTTTACAAATTTCGACTGCTACCATAAACCGCTTGTACCTCGCGCAAGCTCCGAATATCTAACGCTGCAAGTGTATATACATATATAAAATAAAGGCGAGTTTTTGATGCGCACATAAACAATTAAAGCCCTACACATTTATACTTAATAAATAAGAAAAATATAATAAATAAAGATTATAATATAGAAAAAACAAATATATAGTATATCAATATAGTTTTTTAATATTGGAAACGTACCTCACTTATCTAAATAATTACAGTCACATAAAAAATACATAGAGATGTGTATAAGAGACAGGAAAAGCACGTTTTTGCACAGCAGCTTTTCACACGCATGATGTTAACAAGCGGCGTATATGTATTTTTTATATAATTTATAAATATTTTTTTATCCTTTCGACGCACAGTGTTTTAAATATATAATATCCATATAATTATTTTTTATAATTTCGTAAAGAGTAACATATTTATCATTACCTTAGGGAGTATATTTCGAATATTTGTTATCTTTTTTTTGTAATTTATTATTTTTTTGGGGTTTTGTTACAATTTAATTTAATTTAAAAGTTTATATTTCAAATCATATGAATTTCACGCAGTTTAACTGCATAAAAAATATAGCTATAATGCAAGGCAAAAGAGGAAATAAAATTGGTAACACAATTTGTTCGCAAGGATTTTTTGTTTGTCATTTAAATGAAAAGGAAAAATTAAAGAAAATATTTTTCAAGCAGTTAAGCGCATATATTACATATTTTAGTTTTTTATAAACGTGAAATAAATATAATTAAATTATAAAACGCATTATTCGAATATTGCTAATTGCTCATTACCACGAGTTTGCCACCGAAAAAATAATGTTTTAACATAATTAAAGTTTTTTAGATAAAAATTTAGAGTTTTTTGTGCAAATTATTTTTGATAATAATATTTTTAACTTCAACGACTGAATTCAAAAAAATTTCAACTTTTATAGAAAGCATGGATATATGCATATATGTATGTATATTAGGGTGCGTAAAAACCAATATTTTTTCGCTTGGTACTCTAAAAAATATATACTCAGGCAAAGAAATTCTATCTTTTTTTCTATCAAATTTTGTTTCTATGAATTTTTAACTCCTTGTAAACAGTTTTTTTAAATTGCAAAACTCATAGTTTTGTAGAAAATATACTCTCTTATTTTTTTATATACATTTTTTTTTCATTGATGTTTGGCGATGAATATTTCGTATTAATCAAAAAATTATTCTTTAGAGTACCAAATGAAAAAAAAAAGTAAGTTGTTGACACGGCCTAATGTACATCTATATATCTGGTATTTGAATTTTAAAAATAATTCTTTAGAATACCAATTTTTTAATGTGCATGTCAATTTTTAAATTGAAAATATTTGCTGATTTTTTTTTTTAACATACATACATAAGTAAAAGAGGAGCGCAGAAAACAGAGTTTATAGCGAATATTTTTAAAAAATTTTACATTTTATAGCTGGCTGGTGCTATTCAAATTATTAAGCATAATTTTGCCTTCCTTTTTTTACATTTTTTTTT